AATACATAGTAAGAAAGGGAAAACGAAACTTGAGAAATTCCAAACATACATGAATAGTGACCAGTGGGGAAGTCCAATGAGTCACTACATCATATTTCACTTTTTGATTTAGTGTTGCAATACAATAACAGAGAAACTTCATTCTTTTTTCTTAGAATAAGTAAGATATTGTGTGCAAAAACATATAAAAGAATTTGATCTCAAATGTTTCCTGAAAGTCGTAGAAATTTTACAACACAATGTATCATGAAATTCTTCCAAAACTTCATCCAATAAGCAAGATTCTCTTTTTATTCTTCTTTTTCAAGTTTTACAACGTTAGGCTAGAGGATTATGGCTCTATCGCACAAAGAATTATTCTATACACTTCACAACAGTCGATATAAATCCTATTATAGCGTCTTTCACTAACACCGATTCTTCGCAATTGGGAGTCACAGTTCAGAAACTAAATTTTACTTCGAAAGAGAATTAATTAGAAGAGATATTCATGAAAGCCTTCCTTGTAATGAGCAGGTATATATATAAATTTTGGACCCTATGGAAAAATGTTTTCGACCGAATTCTGTTATATATTTCTGCATTAAAAGTTTTGTCCTTTCGAGCAGAAAAAAAGGATAAAGTATCGACCATATTGTATTTGAACGATGCATCAAAAAAATCAATACAGAACTTTATTTCTCACTGACATTCGTCTTTTACTACACCAATTTGCAATATAATTTCATCATTCCGATTGTCGCATAACTTTGAATTGCAATATGTAGAGTAACATACTGAATGTTTAGCGATCTAAAATATCAATAAACTCATAGAGAGTATTCAAAGTTAAAATCAATATGAAAAAAATTGAGAAAAAGCTAATTATTCATATAGATTGAAATGTTTGTCTTTTCTTTTTTACCGTTTGCTATACACAATCTAATGACTATTGTAGTTTTATACTTGTTTTGTTTTTCAGATCAAACTTGGCGTTATTGACGACTACACAAACATGGAACCATCGGAGAATAATAAGACAGTTAATATGCAATCTACTATTACAAGTCTAAACAAATCGGACAATGAGAATAAGCAAGTTATTCAATCGTCATCTTGTTCTAAATCACAACAAGAAGCAACAGATCCTGGCACTCTTTGTGTCGCGTGTTCAATAAGAAACCGAGCATTGGCATTCGTACCATGTGGACATTTCAGTGTGTGTGTTCCGTGTGGTCATGGTTTGGTTGCATGTCCAATTTGTGGAACAAATATTAAAGCATTATTCAGAGTGTATAGTTGAACTATACACTAAATATTTTGATTATTCGGTAGTTTTCTACCATACAGTAATGTTCTCATAGGGACTTCCAATGGTTTGCTATTCTATTGTGTCTTTTAATCCAGAATATCTATCACTTTCTCATTAAATATAATAAAACATTGTCACATATTTTTATCGTACAATACGCCACTGAATTATTATCAATAAACTGTAAAAAGACGAGTTTTCTCAATCAATTCATGTATTCTTCAATCACATTCGAGTAAAACCGAAATGCAAGAGTCCATAGGTCTCATAAAATAATGCCACTGATGTTCACTGAAGAAACCCATAATAATAAGAAACTAGAAGTGCTCTTCTAAACAAAAGAATTCTCATTGCTCAAGTATAAAGACATTCTTCAGAATAAATACATAGATGATTGAGAACAAAAGTACACAACTGTATCTATACAAATCGGAATAAAACCTTCATATTGATCTACAAAAACCAAAAGAATAGCATGTACAATTATTTTCTTCCTTTACTCTTTGTGTACTTTGTTCGTTGTGCAAAAGCATTCATGATTTTTATTCTGCTTACATTGTATTTGATTATGGTTTGATTTCAAACATCATAATAACTGTTAACATTTTAAATGTATATAGAATACCTGTACTCAGACAGTGATGATCCGAGGCAGTCGACAATCAAGAAGAGAGCCACATTCATTTTTAGGAAGAAGTAAATGTTTTTTCTAACAGAATGCAAGAAAAGTTTTCTTTAGGCTGGGAAAAAAAAAGTTTTCACGACTGGAGAGTAATGCATATTCGATACTTTTTGTTAGTCGGGTCGCTACTGCACTTAGGTTATGCAACTAAGATGTGACACACATCAATATGTATCGATCATGTATTTATTTTCTTACCAGCAAGTCTTTTCTTTCGTTGAAGAATCGGTTCTGAGTGTTTGTGCTTCGTTTTGTCCATTTCAACTATTTGTATAATTAGCTTTCGCTATACAGTTTTATGAGTGTCAAAGTAAAACGTGAAAATTATTTGTTTCTTTCAAATTACAAAAGATTAAATGAATAAATTAGAATAAAAAAAATATTGCATGCAGTAGAAAACATCTCCAAGATCAAAACTCAAGTAAAATAATAAGATGCATGAAAAAACGATGTAAACCTAACATGTCTTTTCATTTCAATGTCAGACTGGCTAATGTTCAAATATATAAAAACACGAAAAACAATCAAAACTACACTCGCTTTTATTTCCCATGACGAATTAGATGTACACATGGAATGAACAAATCTTATAAAAAGAGTGTAGTGCGCAGTTACACCACAATGTGAACATAACAACAAAAAATGATCCAATAGAATTCATAATGTGAAATAGACGAGATGAATTGTAATCTATCGAAAAATGACAAGGCAATTGGAATTACTACGATTAATATTTGTTTTGATTTTGTGTATTTTTATGTTGAATATGGTCAGTCTCAATTGTTTCGTCACGTGCCATTCATATTTCCTTTTTTTTCGCGCGATTCTGTCGCTGAGAAACACGCTGCTATTGGCTTTAGAGCAATAGATTGTAGAATTCTTTGTTTTACTTTAACTGAAGATGATGTGTTTTTCTAATTACTTTGGAAATGCAAATTGGGGAAGTAAACAGTTTTATTGGACTTGAAACTATTTGTGTTTTTCAAGCACATTTTTGACTATTGGATAGAAATACAAGTCATTCGAAATGATTAAGTAAAAACGTGATAACATATAAAAGTATAAGCTTTTCGCTAGTTGAAAATCTAAATATTTCATGCATTGATGAAAAATTGATTGTTGTCTTTGTCGATGGCAAAAAATAAAATACCATATAAGATCTATATTTAGAAAGAATCAAATATCTCAGATGATCTGTCAAGCTAAACTTTGAATAAGCGGAATGTCTTACGAATGTTTCTAGATTGTGGAATAATTCTTCAATTTTTTTATAAACTGAGATAGAAAAATCATTGAAATTCATATTAAATCAAATCTTTTACAATGAACAATCATAACAATAATAATTGTTGGTTGATATTATATTGATTCGACTGATAATAAATGTATTTTTAAGCAAACATTCTTTACTTTTCTTGAAAGAAAGAAATCAATAAATCTACCGGATTAAGATCAATCAGAAAGATAAAGAGACACCGTCGAAAATGATATATGCGCGGAAAGAAAAAATCTCGATATCTGAAATTCGAAGGTTCAGCTGATTCTTTAAGTAGAGCTCAACTTTTATGTATATAACTACCGAATTTACACTAGCTAATATAAGTTCGGCAATTATACGTAAAAGCTGAATTACTTCTAACGAATGAACTAAATCTTCCAATGCTAATTATCAAAACTTTTCTTTCTATACACAGACTATTTCCGTCTGTGCACTACATCACGGGATTCTCAAAGTAAAAAAAAAAGAAACCTTTAAGTCAGAAAAATAATGCAAAATCCATGGGATTGTCCTTTTTCCAGACAGTAGTATGCTTTTCATAGGTTCACTTGCTAATCAAAGATGATGAGTTAGATAAATAGTTATTTAGTGCTCCTAATATCGACAATGGTTTATTTTCGGTATATTTTTTCGTTTAATAACATTTTCATACTAATTAACATAATTTATACACTACGGAACACTTTGTATGGACGAGAGACCTGATCAGTGTCAGCAATTACTATGATATATTATATTATTCGTACTTGAAATTCCCATAGTTTTTCTCTACCATAAAACTTTTATAATAGTCTCTATTATGTAGGACACACATATATTTTAGTAAAAGATTAAAAACTCCAGAGCAAGTTGAATCTGATCGAGTGGCTCATTTTCAGCACTAGTAAACACTTTGATTTTATGTTGCTAGAATAGAAGTGATATTGAAATATTGTTCTCTACGTCATTCACAACTCTCAATTTCTTACATCATATTAAAAAAAAAACAGGCATGATCTTTCTGCTAAAAATCATTCGGCAAGTCTATTAAATGAGATTGTTTGGGATTGGAAAATAGCCAAAATGTACGAGTTGTGTTGTTTACTATCATATATCATGTTGTTTTTCGTGATTATTGAAAAATCTTCCATACAATTTCTGGAAAATAGCCAGATAAATATAGAATTATTTCGACGTTTTTCTTATCGATCGACACATTAAAAAAAAAACAAAGAAAAAAATCTAAGATTTTTGAACATGTCAATGACAACTCCAATTAACTTGTACATATCTCTTTTATCCTTCTAGTGTTAGTCACTATGATGTATAATAGTACAATCACTATCAATGGCTTATCGTTGTTATTTCGTCATCGGTACAATTCATCTCGTTGAAAAAGATTAGTCTTCACTTCTTTATTTCGTTTTGTGTCGTTTTTTTTATTCAAAATGTCGACGTAATGAGGAGAATACACAACGTGTACACAGATGTGTGAGGGTGTGGGTGTTTATAGGGGGTGTGGGCGAAGATGAATAACATATCATCGCCCTTTTTACTTCCTTTCTTCTTTGCCTGTCTCTTTTTTTTATTTGTCTTTATCTTTTTCTTTTATGAGAAGAGATCATTCTTTATAAAATAATTTCGCATTGAACACGCACATAGAGATATTGACACATACTGATTAAATGATGACAGAAATTATGGTTAGTTAGTCAATAGAGAAGTTAATCGAGCAACACAAGAAAAAAGGAATGGAAAGATAAAATAATATGGTTCGATTTCAGTTATTATTATTATTGATATTTATTATTATTATTTGCAATTTAACAAAAAAAACATTGATAGCAGTAGATGCTATATGTAAGCAGATGAGATTTTCTGTATTTGTTTTTTTGAAGTAAAAAAAATTAATACTTGTTTTTTAGTTTTTGAATATGAATTACCTAATCGAACAGTAACAATATGTCCAAGTTATTCATTAATATCACTTGAATGTCCTCAAATTCCATCATTGTCAGATCATCGTTCATGGCACCCAAATCTTCCTAAATATCTTATATCTGTTGATTATATTCGTTCATTTCCGTTACGACTTGGTTTTGATGCTAGTTCATGTCAACCTGATTTATCACATGCTTGTAATAATTATGATTTACGTTATATAAATATATTATGCAGTGGAAGACCTCAATGTTCTGATATATCTGCTTATCAAATACGTGAACGTAGCTTATGTGCATTCAAAGCAGTCACAGAAATTGGATTTCATTGTGTACCAACATGGAATTTGCATGAAATACAAACAAAATGTGACATATGTCAAAATGCTTCATTAACAAATGATTATGGTTTTATTCATTCAAGAAATTATCCATCAAAAACTGTTCGTATGCTTTGTTCTACAACAATATATGCAAAACCAAATCATAAAATAATACTTTATTTTGTTAATGGAGAATTAAATCATGATCAATTAAGAATTGAAAGTGTTACATCAAATGGTATAATAATTTTAAATATAACTCTAAATGGAAATTTAACTACACAAAGATTAGCAGCATCAACATATGAAATGAAAATAACATTTATACCAAGTCATATTTATTCATATCATCCAACTTATTATCTACTGTATTTTTATACAATACCTATTTGTTCAATTACTGATCCATGTCCACCTGGACCATCACCAGTAACAAGTACACCTATTACGACATCAATAACAACAAGTCGAATGAGAATACAATCAGTCGGATGGACACGCGTGCCAAGTAAATGAGAAATTCATTTTTGACCAGATTGGAATTTTATTTTTTATTCATAGATATTTGGATTATTATACCAATTATACTTGCTTATATACTTCTATTACTTCTTATAGTTGCATTGGCACTTTTATTTCGGTAAATATAAAAGAATCAATGAAATAAAATCATGTTTATGTTTTAGACGACGTCGTAAACAACAAAAAGTATTAGAAGATATTACAAATACAAATGTGTCTTCTCGTTATTTGGATGCAAGTGGTGCTTCAAGTCGTGTTCAACTTGTTCCATCATTGTCTTCTCAAAATGGTAACAGTACTGTTCATGATACTTATCCATCTCCTCGTTGTGCAAGTATATCACAAAGTGCTCATCGTTCTTTATCAAGTTCTCCATTTGCTCAGAATATGGAACGATATTATCGCGATAGTCGAAGTGATTTTGATCTTTACCATAATAGTTTAGATGGAATAGATTATCGTTATCATGCACCTATTCCTTATCGTGCTCGTTCTGCAACATCAAATGGTAACTATCGAGGTTATGGTACTATTGATCATTCTTCATTTAATTATGATCTTAATCGTCATCGTCGTTCATTACCAAAATCTTTTTCTGATTGTAATTTATGTAAACGACGTGTTGTTAACGAAGAGTATCAACAGTATTTTAATGAACAAGATGATAATTGGCATTTAGAAAATTCTTTGGAAAAAAGAACAGAACCAAGAACTTATCGAGATAAAATAAAAGAACGTTTTCGTGAACGTTCAGCAACTCGTCAAAATCCTGATAATGATATTCCACCATCACCATCGACAACTGTTGAATATTCAACTATTTTACCACGTCATCAAAGAATTGCCAGTGAATCAAATTGTTCAAATGGACCTGTTCGTCATTTACCTTTTGAATATATTCCAAATGAAACTCCGTCTAATATTCGTAACATGGAATTTAAACGAAATTTAAGTCAAGATCGTCTAGCAACTGGAAATAATCAACAACATGTAACAAATGATGAAAGTGGTACTAATAATTTTACTATGAAATTTTATGAACGTGATGATGATGATGACACAAGAAATGATCTTGATAGATATTTACATGAAAGAAGAGAAGTTCAACAAATGTCGATGAAAATGAATGGACAACAAAATTTAAATAGACCTCAATATTATCATCAACAAAGACGTTTTACTGGAAGTACTAGCGAGATTTAAAATATTTTCATCTGTTCTTTTTTTTTCTTTAAAAATGATATAAATTCTATCTCATGATCAGTCTAAATGTCTTCGTTTCTTTTTGCCCTAAAAATATAGTTATAAGGCAAGAACCTTGAATTTAAATTCTTGATGTGACATACGAAAGAAATTGACACTTGTTATAGAAATAATCCTTGGCATATTCTCTTTTGTTTGTTATCTTATTTAAAAATCAATGTTATTTATTCTATTCTTCATGTTGGATATGTTATTTTTAACCTGATAATCTAACGAGTACGAGATCTTGTTATTAATATAAGTCATTTATATTATTCAAGTACATTATGATTCATATTATTGATAAATAGACTAAAACAATTCACAACAAATGAACGAAAATTATTCAAAAGAAAATTTTCTATTAAGAGATAAATATTGAAATAAATTTTACTCGACTTAATTTCGAATATTTATATGGTAGTGAAGTTTTCAGTTACACATATCATGGTATCGTTTTTACAATATTTTTTTTCGAATTTTAATTAAAATTGAACCTTATATTTGATATTGATAAATTCATGATAATATAACAATCATGACACTTTTTCAATAAATCTATTTGTTCTCTTTCATTGTTTAAAAACAATAGCTGTATCTTTTGTAGCAACAGATTGTTGTGTTTGTTAAACAAGAACAAATGTTCTTCGTTCTTTGTCGTTAATCTATGTAAATATATAAATAAATGTCAACATGGACACAAGAGGATTGAAAAAAGTTTATGGTCAAACTTAATGTAAACTTAAAATTGTGAATATTTTTCTTTGTCAAGAAAATGCCTGCCAAAATTTATTCATAGGTCGAATATACAAATAAATCCATACGTTCATTGAAGTTATAAAACTTAAAAATTATTCATTTCAGAGTCTATAAAACACTAAAATCAAAGTCAAAAAGTTTCTTTTGTTTTTTTATAAAACTAAAACAATAATTTGAAGTTAAGATGTTCAAAGATTTATAAGAGAATGGTTCTTATTTCATTTTATATTTATAGCAATAGATTTAGTTCTCAAATAAACAAATTGATCTAGAATATGAAGAAGAAAGTCAGCTTTCCAATGTTCTTAGATTTAATCAATTATGATTCTTTTTGGCACTAAAGGCAAGAATTCTAAGAAAACGAACGAATCATACATAAATAACTGTAAACAGTCTAAGTAAATAATTGAAACAACTCAATCACGTCAACATTAAATGCAATTAATATTGATTGTCGGTTTTTGTACAGTTGTACCTGTACTTTCTTTGTGTATCTTTATTCTTATTATTCCATCATGTGCATGCTAATTTCTGATTTCCTATTATTTTTTTCGAATATCACACTTAAGATAGAATTCATTGGATCATATCATGTTTATATTATAAGTTATCTTATTTATTGAGGCAAATTGCAATTGTTTCGATAACGTTTTCGATATCTTTTGTATTTTAAGAGTAACATGTTTTAGAAGACTAACAACTAATTTAAAATAACGGTATTCTTTAGATGCATGCTACTTAGTAAAAACAAAATTCAAATGAATGTGAAACAACTTTTTTTCAAAGATATAAATCTGCCAAAGTTTCTTTATTATCTACATCAAAATACATTACTTATTCGTACAGGTATATTTTGTATCTTTTTCTTGGAATTAAGATATTTTTGTTTTTGAATATAATAAGTTTACATTTAATAGTACTTGACTTAATCCAACATCTTTTTGTATTCTACAGTCAATTTCTATTTCGATATCGACTTTTGAATGTGCCTATGACATTTAATCTAATTTATTCATTCATATTCTACATTAGTGTTTTTTGTATTCTTTAATAAGGTTTTACGATAATTCAATACTAACTTGTTGCTTGCCTTGTCATCTGATTACTTGAAAAGTTTGTCTACCTTTTCGAGTTTTAATTTATGATGTTTGTTAATGTTCAAAGTATTTCTGTAAAATTAATTCTTGTCATTTGTGTATAATATTAAAATAACCGAATGGCTCAATTAAATATAAGGCGAAAAAAATATTCAAATGACTGGTCAACTGCTTTCTATTGCATTTATTTATTTAGTTAAATGGTTTTCACAATGTCTTTTGTTTCTAATACTCTCATTACACCAAAATCAAATCCAGACATTAATTAGCTGAATTGCCAGCAAATATACAGGTTATTCTACTTCAATTGTCATTTTGTTTTGTAAATTTATAGCACTTACTGATATTTTCGAATTGTGCAATAAAACCAAAAAAAACTCATCAATGATGTTACGTGTATGAAATTCCATAGACTTTGACAGAATTGCGCCTACCGTTTACAGTAGAAAAATGAGAACAACGATTCTTAGAATGCAATAAATTAACTAAACGTTCTGTAGTTATCATCTATTTCTATGAATGCTACCATTTAGTCTCATATTATACAAAAATAAATTGAATTTTAATCTGGTTTCAGATTTTAGAAAAAAAAGCCATATTGGTGGAAAAATCAAATGAAGAGAAGATATAAAAGAAAAGATCATTAGATATTCATATAAAATGGTCATATTTGAAAACAATTATCCTGATATTTTCATTCATTATTACATATAGAGAATTGAGTTATGAAGACAAACTTTTAGAAAAAAAGTATCCTTTAGTTGAGAGACATTTCGTCTTGTTGAATTGATCTAAGTTACGAAAAGCACTGTGAATTTGCGTGACTTTTAATGGAAAAAGTTACAATCACCTTTGAGACATTCTATTTCAATGCCAATAACGACTTTTCTAGTAAATGATTTTCTACATGGTTCCACAATTGTAATTTGGAACAATATATTTTGAAAAAAAAGTCCGACAATCGATAATCAATTATTAAGTGCTATAAAGCAATATTTTGATGAACTTTAGTTAGACTCCCAATGCTCATCCTTCATTCGTTTTATGAACGGCATCCACTTCATATTGTTTTATTTGTTCAGTTTTTTAGACATGTACAAATTCTAACGGCAGTCAGTAATTCACATAAAAATTTTGTTTTGAATCTATCTCTGTCAAATGCCGACATGGTAAACTGAAATCATTAGAACAAAATTACGCTTCATTTACCATCTTCCACTGTCCATCAACATTTCGATCAACTTCACGAAATATTTTATGTACTATTGTTTGTATAAAACATATACAAAGCATTGAGAAGAATCATTAATTAATGTATAGTACACAGGCAACGAAATCTTTATTGTTCTCGTAAAAGATATTTTGTTTTTACGAAAAAAAAACAAAAAAAAAACAATATGAAAACATTTAAATATATAGGTAAACTTCATGATTTAAGAAGAAAATACTTTATACACTGCCCAAACATAAATCACCTCTTTGATAATTCAAATTACAAATCGAATTCCAGGAAAAAACAAACTTAAGCGTCTTTTCAGGAGTCTTTCTTGCTCTTGTGACGTAACATAATAACTTGTTGAACATCATTTTCCGCTGCTAAACGATCTGGATGTCCTTGTGGAAAAATTTGTCTATAAATTTTTGCCACATTTTCAAAACTAAGATAAGCATCGTCGAAAGATCCTGTACTTAAATGCATTGTACCCAAGCTATAATGTAATTCAGCTAATACTGATGGATCTGGTGAATACGTACTTTCAAACATAACGAGTGCTTTTTTACATAGATCAAGAGCAAGAGCAACATTTCCACAATCTTGATAGATGTTTCCCAACATCGCAAGAGTTGCGGCTACACTTATTTTATTAGGAGGCACAATATGTTCTCGTAAGGCCAAGGCTCGTTGAACATTATCGATGGCTGCAGGATATTCCTGATGAGCCCAATGAGCATTAGCAATACCTATGAGATTCGATGCAGTAGCAGCATCATCAGGTGATTGATTGGCTTGACGCAATGCGAGTGCACGTGTATGACAACTTAAGGCTAAATCATATTTGTGACAATTGTGATATACATTTCCAAGATTAGTTAAAGTATCACCAATATCTTCACCAGCCTATATAAAAAAAAAGAAGTTTTGTTGATAGCCGATGTTAATATTACTAAATATATTCAAGAACAAGATATTGTATTGCTCAGATAAATAATTTACCTCTTCTTGCATTTTGAGCGCTTTTGTATGACATTGCAAAGCATAATTATAATCTTCTTTTTTATCAGCACATAATTGACCTATTGTGTTCAATACACGAGCAGTAACAGGTTGAATACGATGGTAAATAGCTAAAGCCCGATCGACTTCTCCTTTTTCGGCACATTTTTGTGCTTTTATTTCTTCAGCAGTTAAAGTCGAATCTCTAGAAGAAACAAAATCAGGTAAATAAATTTGATTTCATGTAACAAAAAAAGGGTATTAGAACGATCCTTATGGAATTAAAATGTAAAACACGATATAGCTGTTATTCACGCTCTGAATGAGAGAATTGCCAACGTGTTCGTTATGGTCTGTGGGAAAAGTGGGTCCCAACTTCTATTCGATATATTTCAACACTTCTTTTCATTTTGTGTTACATAAAATATTTTACATTGTGAAAAATCATACTTTTTTTGACTTGATACAGGTCTTGATTTTGGTCGTAGTGGAGGAAGAGTACCTGGTTTTGGACGCATTGATGACTTCATAAGTTCATCAAGAAGTGACTGTATTGTTTCATCTTTATGTTGTTCTATATAATCGGAAACATTTTTTCTTCCCATTTCACTAGCTGTCTTCATTTTGATAATCGTCATTTGATCTCGATTAACATAAACAATATGAAATGCCGTACAAATATCAAATACCATGAATGGTGAAGAATTTTTATTAGCTAATTCTATGCACGGAGTGGATGCATCGCAATCAATTTTAAATAAAACTGATTGTAAATCAGTACGATATACTGGTAATGTGGCAAGTGTCAAGGCATTAGCTCTCGATTTGATACAAGGAAAAAATCCACTTGTACATACAAGTTGACCAACATGAACTTTAAATTTATCGAGAAGTTCACTTGACAGTTTCATACCTCGATAGAATTTATCACTAGATTTGCGTTGACGTTGTTGTTGAAGAAAACGAGAAGCATCGGCAAATAGAAAACGGCAAACATTAAGTTGTTCTTTGTTGTGTGAGCGAAGTGCATGATGAAGAAAACGTGAAGGAAACGGAGAACGAAAACACCAATTCATGACTTCGGTAGGTCGGTAAGATTTATCGAGTTCGTCTATAGTCCGAAGTATCATGACATTATCTCGATAATATTGTCGAGTTGCTTCAATAAAGATATTCTTTTTGGATGACACTTTTCTATTTGTCAACTAAATAAAGAAAAAACTTTTCTTTTTATTATAATATTGAAAATGATAAAACATACTACTTGAAGCAAAGATTTTTCTTACTTACTTCTTCTTTCCATAATTGTGACCAAAGAAATACTTTATCATGTTCAAATGCAAATGATTCAAGTTGTATTTGTTCAAAAACATCCAATATTTCTTTTAATTCACGAAATAATTCTTCTTGTTGAGAATATATGCCACAGAGTTTTGGAAAATCACCTTTAATACTTTCGACATTTGAAGCAAGTATGAACATGGCCTCAACAGGTGCAAGATTATGCACTGTTGCAATCAGTTCACTATCACTGGACGATGTGATAAAAAAGATTTTCTCTTTTGAAGACTTAATTGCATTAATACAGGTCAATGAATCAATAAAAGCTTGTACATGATGATTGATTGCTCGAAGTGGTCCAACAAGATTAAGACCCGATTGGTCTTGAGGATCAAACCAAATAAAGATGATACTTTCGTGATTGTCTTGCATGATAGAAAAAGGACGTGTATCAATAGAAATGGATTCTGTCGTCAATAACATAGATGGATCAAGAGAAAGAAATTCTGGACGATCTTTATTTTTGTTATTGTCGTTTCTCAATACAGTGCTTGAATTAGCCATATGAACTTCTCTTTTCTTCTTATGAGTTCAACTTTTATCTAAAATATTCTTTAAATATTTATATAAATTGATAAAATATTGAAAAACAAAAGTAAAAGTTCATAAGATGTGATGTAGAATATGATTCATTTCTGAATGAGAAAGTATGGATGCATGTTTGTTTTATTTAAAGAACTGCTTAATAACAATACTGAATTTTTTTAAAATTATGCAGTCGATTGTTAAAACATCAAACTTAATGATTCCCTTCTGACCAATCATTGTCACTATTTTTCTTTAATCATTGCACAAACACATGCAATTTAATGCTTTCGCGAATGCATAAAAATATTAAAAAAAATAAATAAAAAAAATCACTTAAGAAGGCAGCATCAGGTTTTTTGATTATGCACAGAAGATGTGGGCAGTTTCACAAGAAAAAAAAATCTGTCAGGTAACTTATGAAGTTTTAATTATGCAACAATTTTGTTGAGGGTGTAGAATTGTTATTTTCACTTTACATAAACCAATGACAATGACAACAGGGAAGAGTGTTTATCTAAGAACAAAAGAATCTACAAATGAAAGTTCATTCTTTTTTCTGTTGACATTTAAATGACAAAAAGAAAGAGTTGTACAGGTATTTAGATTGTTTTCGCTGCTCGAAAGAATAAAAGACGTTAAACGTTTCATTTATTATTATTTTACTTCTATTGAAAATGAAATCACTGATTTTTGGTTTTAATTTGACTTGATTTACGATAAAATCTTAAGTAAAAACATACCAAATGAATTTCAAAGATATTGCTTTGATTTATCAATTAACATATATAAGAATCGTAAAGGAAATGAAATTGTTCTATCAATATTCTTTTAATATTTTTAATAAAAAGACTTAATATGCAATATTATATTCAGATACTAAATTAGGTTTAACATTACACATTTAACGATTTATCAAAATGCGCAATGATTTTTAGTATTTACACCGAAATTAATGTTTCTTTAAGAAATGGTACCGAACTCTGAAAGAATAATCTTTAGTTTTAAATACTGTGATAATTTTTTTTAGCTCTGATTACTCAATATACCAATAATTAACAACTAGAACATTATTTAGGAGTTGATCAAGAATTGAAACAAGTGTTGTTATTGTTGTATTATCGAATGCCTCTATGATGCAATCAACTGATGATGATCCATTACCATTTCATGCCATTGTATACAATATGTTTCTTTCTTCCCTTTCAGTATCCATAACTTTCTTTTCAATGGTTATCATATGTTGTCTCAGTCAGATAAACATGTTTACAAACCAGAAAAATAGATCTCTACACCATCAAAACGTACATATGTTTGCTATTTTTCTAAGAGACATATTTTTTCATAGGAAAATGTATCGAGTCTTTTGCAACTACCAAATGAGTTTCAAATAGCCATTGAAAGATGTATTAGTAAACAAAAAAAATCAAAACAATTGATGGTTTTGTGTTTGTTCGTAGTAACATAGGCAAAATTTTCTCATTCTAACAAATTATCATTGAATTTTCTCAGCGTCAGCAATAGAACTATATATTGTTTGATAAGCATCATTCACTGGAAGCTCAAATTAAAGTTTATTCAAAGTAATATAATATTATTTCAAAAGAAAATTCTTTCTAATAATTTATTATTTAGTTTACGAAGTTTATATCCTATCAATACACTTGACGAATAAGTAGAGAATTATATTTTCCATATTTTACATCTCGACGTATCCTACTTTTCTCTAATCAACAGTTGTCTAATAAATGAATGTCGTTAAATTCTGATGTCATTTAATTTTTGTGTTAGTTTAATATTGACATGTATAGAATCCTCTATCATACTAAATACGTTTATTCATTTATGATGTGTGAAATGAAATCTTCCTTCTAACTATATCATTATTAATTATGTTGTTACGTACTAAAAGATAGCATGTTTTCTCAGAACTCACTTTTTATTAAAAAAAAAGCCAAGATGATTTGTCTGTTATTAGTATTTTCTATTTCACTTCAAGGATACTAGTCAAATAAAAAAAAACAGAGAAAAGATTTTACATAAAACGTTCAGTATTTAATGTCAATATAGAATATAGTCAGACATTATTTTTTTTAACTTTTAGTTCAAACACGTGCATCTGTTCTCAAATAAAATATCTACCTGTGAACGTCACGTACTTTCCGCATTCATTAATCAGAGAGCCTGTATTTGGTATTATCTATTCTGTTATTATTCTAGCTTAGTTTTTAGCAGTAGTGAGCAACATATTTATTGTCACTAGAAGAAGTACGTAATGAAATTCGTATTCTTCTTTGCTTTGTGCTTGCTAGTAAGTAAAAAATTTGTTTCTCTATGGATAAAAATTGTTTGAAAATGACTAGATATGCTACATACATATGACATCAAGCGTTACAAGCAAGCCATCAACAGCAAACAAGGGCAAAAGCAAATCAACAAAAGCTACTGATAGCAATACTGCAAAAACGAAAGGTAAAAGCAAAGAAGTTAAGAAGAACACTGGTGATGGTACAAAAACACAAGACAAGAGCAAGGTACATAAGAAAGATACTGCTGATCAAACTACAACCACAAAAGGAAAGAAAACTCCAAATAGTTAGTATTACATCATTTTTTCTCTTGTATCTACTCAAAATTTGATTTCTGCTTAATTAGTACGAACTCCTTTCGATAAAGTTCTTGAAAAATTATCGAATTGTGCATCTTCATCACCTTCACTTGTTGATGTAATGCAAGAAAATCTTCAAGAACTTCAATCAGATGAAAAACATGCGCCACTTTTTAATGCTGCACCACATACAGCTGCTTTTTTAAATAAGAGATCACATGATTCAACTAAATTTATCGGTGGATTACGTCAAGCTCTCAATGCTGATTGGTCAAATCCAACTTGGAAATCATGGAATGAAATTGATACACTCTTTCGTCCATTCAAACAACAATTTGTATATGCTATGATGAGATTTAATTGTACTTGAATTTGTTTTGATTGAAGATTATGATAAAAGAATAAAGAGCTTTAATGCTATACATAATTTTATTGCTTTTAATTCATTGATCTTGATAGACAAGATAGATAGGAATACCTAGTAAATTGGTTCTCATCGTGGTTGAATAAATCATCTTCTACGAACATTTATTAGAAAAATAAGATCGTTCAACCTTTTAAACGTACTGAACTATACGATTTAGAGAAAAATTGCTGTAATTCCAGTAAGGCTCAGAAAAAATTGTAGTCACTCATTTAGTTATCGATTTACTGCAAGACAGTTTCGTCGCTTTGTTGTTACAGATATTTTCTATGATAAGTGCTATAAAAAGATAGAACTTCAATAACTTGAAGTGATCCGATACCCCCTCATGAGAAATTACATATATATATATGAAAGACTTGTAGAGAGTGACTTGCTGTGAATGACTGCAACTTGGAAAGAACTTAGAAATATCAATTGAAAAGCTTCAATCGATTTTGTTTCATAGAAAAAAATCAATGTATGAAATATCTTTGGTATGAAGAGCATCTATAATAAGATAACGACATAATTGACTCGCAGTTACTAAATAACTGAATGAGTGATCGCTATTTTTTCCCAATCCTAATGTTATTCTCTGTAGATTCTTTCCTTTGAGAGATTAGATATTATACAACAATGCAAATCATGAAAATATATGTGACAAAATGATGAAATTTGTCTCAACTTTTTTGATATTAACCAAAAAAGAAGAACAGAACCTAGAAGATTTTCTCATCGTGACTAAAACAAAAAAATTTATTTAATTAATTATTATTTTTTCTTTAAAATACAATTAACAAATGTTTCAATACGTTCATTCATTTTGTCAATATCAATTTTAAATGATGTTGATAATGTCTTTGCTAATTCATCGCAATGATCGATTTTATTTTTGAATATAACGATATCACTTATATATGATCCATAAAGATCTTGTTGTCGTTTAGATACTTTACTCATTATCATAGTCAACGGATCATTTGTTTTCTTTGTTTTTTCTGATCGAATTTCTTCAAAATCAATTCCACATATACCTTGTTTATGATCTCGTCGTACAAGTATATTCCATGTTCCTGAATCTCCAATATTAAGTATGTAACGTAAATAAAAATGTTGTAAACATGCTTGACAAATATATTTTTTATTATCTTGAAAATTAGATTCATCTTTCTCTAATTCAATTAGACGATTAATATGTGAACCACGTCGAAGTACTTTAACATTAGTTTCTATTTTTGTTGTTACTGTTTCATGATCGCTTTCTGATATAGGTAATTTTCCTAACGATTTTTGTTTTAAATAATATTCATTGGTATTATCAATTTTGATGATTGAATCCCAATCTATAATAGACTGAAGATGATCTGGTATTTTTAAATATTGTTCAAGTGTCAGTAAAGCACGTGTAAAATATAAATTATATAGTAATTTTCTTCTATCACCTTGTGAACTTGATAGATAAGGACCTTTATAAACATAATCTGATGAGATGAATACGGCTTTCTTATGCATACTTGTTCGAGGTTGACCATGAGCAAGTTTTGATAATTCGTCAATAGTAAACGATGGTGGTTTTATATCAACATGATAATCTAAACGAATTATTTCGTTATCAAGTTCAACATTTGTTATTTGTTCATGAGTATTTAACTAAACAAAAAAGAAATATTGAAGTTTAGTTTAAAATAAAATATCTTTTTCTTGTTACTTTAGTTTTTTTCTTTGTCGTACTTTCTTCTTGTGTCTCTTTAGTTTTTCTTTTTGTTGTTGTTGTCGGTTTTTTTTCTTCTTCATTATCCATCATAGTTTTAAATTCATTATACATTTTTCGATATTTATCTATAAATAATTCTTTGCATTCATTAGCTACTTGAGCACCTTCAAGAGCAAAATCACTTCTTGATGTTGCTGCACCTGTATGTCGATCGAATACAAATGAATCTAATTCTATTTTTGTTCCTTCATTTAAGTGATCTTTATACAATTGATCGACATTAATATCCAATAAATCATTTGTTTGTTGGTCTATTTTTCGAATAGAATCTTCATAAATAATAAATGCCATAGCATGATATAAATATAGATAATGTTCTTTATGTTTTAATGTTTTATAAAAGAAAGCAAGAGCTTGAGCGCTATGTGAAAATGGTGATGTACGAATAAGATATGGCCAAAGTTGTTGATTAATTATTGTTTGATCATTTCTTTTAAATAAAACTGAGAGATAAGCATATGCAAGTTCAGATTTAATTGAAAGATGTTCCACAATAAGTTCATAAATGTCTTGTTTCTTTACAAGTTAATTAAAAATAAAAATGAAAATAAGAAGAGAGTGAAGAAAAACAACTAACCGTTTTTCCTCGACATTCATTCTCGTACATGATATTAATTAATTGTTTCATTTGAAATTTTTCTAATAATTGACGATGTAACTTATCAGTTTTCATTGGATATTCAGGTAAATTATAAACTGTTTTAAGATCACTTAATAATCGAATTCGCTTTATATTTTCATTAGCTAAACAATGATACATTTGAATAAGTATTGTTCGACTTGATATCTCTCGACGATATTTTATCCATTGCAAATAAAAATTATGCATTTTACTCGGTAATTGACTATTACATGGACCTACATCTTCACTCATCATTGCTATAAGACGATTAATCATATTCGAACGAATACGAACTGAATTTTGTTGAATTTGTTTTCGTGTTAATCGATTATTCAGATAAAGATCAGGTTTTATTTCAAGATAAGAAAAAAGATCTAGTTCGATTAGACACCATACGCCTTTAGGAAAAAACATTGCTCGACGAGCATATTTTTGTAAAGCACTTTTTAATGTTCGAATATCGACATTGTGAAAACTTCGTTCACGATGAAGAATAATACACATCGAACCAATTGCTTCAGTTTTTTCTTCTACTTCTTTCGACATGATGCTCCAGACGAATGACAGCAAAACATATGAGTCAATCCAATTATATAGTATTATTTGCTGTTATGAAATTACTATTTCGCAATTACTTACAGAATGGAAAAAATAGGTTTCTTTTTCTCATCTACAAAACATATGAGTGCACGCATGCAGGCTCAGGTGACAGCACAAGAAAAAAAAAGAGGCAATGATACATGAAATTGAGGAATAACTCCATTTATTTCTTGTTTCTCGAACAGAAATGCACGAGTATATTAGTGTGGATGTACGTAGAAGAAAAGGGAAGATATTAACATCCACATTCTTCATTCTCATCTTGCATATTAATTCGTGAATCACATTGTTTATTTTCATCAGAAAATGAGAAGAAATCCCATTGAAATTGTTTTCATTCTTTATTTGTGTACTCGATAAAATTTTTAGCAGCGGCTGAAAATGTAATGTAACAGGAATGAGAAAAAAAGATTGCTGTCATCATCCCCAATGATCGTTTGACAAATGCATCATCAGCCTTTGTACATAATTCTATTTTCGACCAGAGCCTAACATCTGTTTGAACAATTGGAAACACAAAGAGCCATTCTATTCAAAATTGAAAAATACTTGAACAATTCAGTGCGTAATAACTGTTCTAAATCATCATCTGAATAACAGACAGTACTGTCTTAGAGCAAAAACAATACATCAAAGTATGTCTTGACAAACCAATCGTGTTGCATCTTGTCCATCGTCATTCTTGTGAAAAATAAAAACAAGAACTGTTATAACAGAAATCCCACGGTTATAATATCAAAACGAATTCTTATGTTGTTGTGCAACAATTACATCGTCGTTAGTGCAATTATAGAGGTAACTAATTAACTCATTATTTTACTGAAGAACGAAATGATTTGCTTATTTTCTTCTAGCTTCTTTTGGTTTGAGGATATGGTGTGGGTGTGATTGTAGAAGCAAAGAAGACTCGCATCCATACCACACTCACATATGACATCATCCTTATCATGTTCAGATCCATATCTCAACTACTACCAATTTGATCATTTCAAGAAAGTAAATTCAATCGAATATAATGATTGATGTGACAATTCCATATTGAGATCATTAGAACAATTGTTCTGATGCAAAACTAAGTCATCGAATCCACTTGTACGTGACATTCATCAGAATGATACGAAGACTTTCTCATTAGGCGATGAAATTTGACATCTGATGCCATATAGGCCGAGTCTGCCATGCAATAGATCAGTAAACAAAGAGAATTGGTTTTCTTCTTTGTTTCTATCTCAAACATACTGAATTATATAAAGAAAAGGATATCTGCGTTCTTCGTGATATTTCAAGCATACAAAGAAGCATTTGTATGAGCCAGAATTGGAAGTGGTGGGATTTTTCTTACTGTTTTCGGTACCAATCTAAACTACCAGACGGGACCGGTCAGTATACCGGCATGAGTCATTTTTCACTTTTATAACCCTATAAAAGTAAAATGAAACCCTTGATGAGTGATATCTGTTTCTTATTAACTACAGCAATGGCACAAGACTCCTATTCCCCTACTATAGCGCTTTTCACTATTAGTTTTTGTAGGTTTCCTTTCTCTTGAAATCTATCTGTGAGCAGAAAACTTGAGAGGACTACAAATTCTATATTAGTTTTGTCCGCTAATTAAATGTCCGTCAGACATGAACATTATAAATTAACCATCGACTTAACAGTACCTATCCCCGCTATTTTTTGACAAAAATCTTGACTTTGAACCGAGCATAATGTATGACAGTCTCAAGTACTGTTTGCAATTGAAAGCATCATTTGACTTTAAACAGCTCACTGTTACATAGTTACTGAATTAAGGAAATCTTTTTTCTTCTTAGTAACTATATCGAAATTCTCTTCTTTTACTTGGCGGCACGTAAAATATCAGTTTTCTCAATCGTGGCTGTTTACGATCCCCTTCTAGTTTTGTTCGATCGGGCTGAAATTTTTACAACAGATACTGGAAAGTATCCTCCACAGGTAAAATCG